TAACATGCAACTGTATGCAAAATAATCTAAAAGGAAATGTCACCAGCTCTTTAGTCTGTCATATGGCACGTGGACAGAGTAACAGTTCTGTCCTTGGAACCAGGTCCCCGTGTGCTCCCATTGCAGAAGTGTGCACCACCACTCGTCATGAACAGAAAGGGACCACAACACAAACCAGGCAGGTGGGAAATTACTAATGTGAACATTGAAACCATTCTTCTTTCACACCGTTTGGCTGCCTAGGCTAGTAGAGATCTGATTTCATACTCTGGAATAAAACCCACTCCCAGAGTTGGGTTGGTTTGGTTTTTTTTTGGTATGTGTTTGGTTTGTTTTTCAAAAATCTTAGCGATGGCTTTGACATGCAAATCCTGTCTAGAGCCTACTGCAGAGAGCAGGAGCAGACAAATGTACTCTGTCTCTCTGTCTGGCTTTATTTCACATGGGTTTCTTGTTTACCTGGCTGCTATGGTCACTTTCCATTTGAAATAATCTTACTTTTTCTTTTTTGGGCTGAGTAACTAACACACAACAAACCGCCAACTGTTCATACACCACCGAGAAAACAAGCAGCTCTGTTGGAGTAAGGGATCCAGAGGCAGTGATGACAGGAGTCCTAGAACCCAGACCTGACTCAAAGAGATTTTCCTGAGGTTGCATGTGTGTTACAGCCTGGGAGGCTGATGTGCTCCTCCACAGAAGGACTGAGGCTCTCAAGCCCTCAGTAAAGCACCAAGGAACGTGTAGTGCAAATGCACTATTGGAAAAGATGAGAAACACATGCAGGAGTTGCAAATAACAGACTGTTTTGTATGTTGCACATGGTGGCAAAATCACTTTCTGAAACAGGCTTGTTACTAGACATTACCATTTTTGTGTTAATAGATTTTTAGTATATTTATCTATAAAACACATTTACAAAACCAGAGTCCTCCGAAGGATGATGAATTTCTGGAGAATTGGAACTTACCAAGGGAATTTGAGCATAGTGCACAGACATAATTACATGTCTTGTGTGAATTCAACAGGTATTTCATGGTTAATCTTCCTGGAACCACAAAAGCAGATAGCCAGTTTGTAGGCTTCTCCTGATACACACAAATCCTGAATTTCAATTTAAAAGCAACCTCCCTGTAATAACCTTGGGGTTATTCAGCCTGGAGAAGAGGAGGCTGAGGGGAGACCTTATTGTTCTCTACAACTCCCTGAAAGGAGGGTGTAGAGAGATGGGGGTCGGTCTCTTCTCCCAAGTCACAGGCGACAGGACAAGAGGAAATGGCCTCAAGTTGCACCAGGGGAGGTTCAGGCTGGATATTAGGAAAAAATTTTTCATGGAAAGGGTTCTCAGCCATTGGACTGGGCTGCCCAGGGAGGGGGTTGAGGCCCCATCCCTGGAGGTGTTCAAAAGACAGGTTGATGTAGTGCTGGGAGGGATGGTTTAGTGATGGTGTTGCTTTTTGTTTGTTGTGTGGGTGTCTATTTTTGTCAGTTAGGTTGATGGTTGGACAAGATGATCTTTAAGGTCCCTTCCACCCTAGAAGATTCTGTGATTCTGTAATGTAACATCCCTGTCCACTGCTTCCCCCATCCCACAGAATACCAGCACTTGCTACATATCTTGTTCACGTGGATCTCACAACCCTAAATGATTATGTCCCAAATTCCTATAAGCCAAGGTATGCCAGCTAGTACCTTCTCAGTAGCCTCCAGTGGCACTGTCAATTTCTGCTTCTCCCTGTACCAAACCTCACCCCAGTCAGGTGTAATCCACATACCTGTGTTACGTGGACCTGCACTACCACGGTTGAACATCACTGAATCCTGTGGCAATGGATTCTACAATTTAATGACGTGAATAGTGTGAAAAACTTCCTACTGTGGAAGTTGTTTATAGTGCATAATATGATAATACTCTCGTCAAACTTCTTAGTACTTTTTATAGTTTTATTACATCCTTTTTGACCAGGACCACATACAGCATTCAAGACACTGAGTGGACTGGAGATTTACACGATGACATTAAAATTTCTCAGTTGGATTCTCATTTCCTTCTGAAATTTCTATGCCTTTTTGACTGCAACTGAGCAAGGCACTTTTGTCAAGAGCAAATGACAGTGAGTCTAAGATCAGGTTCCTGTGTGGTGGTTATAGCTAATTAGAGTCTGTCAGAATTTATACTGCATAGATTATGTTATCACTTGTGTCACTTTTCTTTACTGATACTGTATTTTATCTGAGTTTTTAATAGTCAGTCATTTGATATTCTGAAACCCTCTCACAATTATCTGTAATCCACTCTAGATTAGGATACCCCCAATAATCATGTGTGTATGCATATATTTCCATGCAGATACCAACAGTTACACACTTCTAATACTTAAATGCCCAGGCTCCGAGCCCTGCCAAACACAAACCAGAATATGACCATAATGGATTCACAGAAACCTGCAGCCCCCACAGCAGCAGAAGTCAGGACTCTGCAGATGGCTCTCTTGACCCACCCAAGTGCTGGAACAAAACAAGCCAACTCCGCCAAAACCCTCTCTGTAGATGCTTTTGAAGTGACACACCCCAAAAAGGAGCTATGGGCTTTTTTGTTGCCGTTTTATTTTTTTCCAGCAGACAAAATGCTTTGCTTTTAATGGCTTCATAGGGCACAATCCCATTGTATTTCCAGCACTGTCAGAATGAAACATGACAACACAACACGGGACATTCCCCTTGAGATACAACAGGTTATATTGGTTTGGTTCTTTTTCTAGAAGCCACTTTAGAGACTGGCATCCAGCGCAGAGTTAGTCCCTTCAGAGAGAGTTATGTATGAAGAACAAAGCATGTAACTGAAAAAGCCTGAGCATTCCTGCAGGTTAGTGTGCTGCTACAGCAAGAGGAAACTTCTTGAGGTCTTTTTACTTCGTGCAGGACCAGTGACAGATTTATCCCCAGTCACCTGGGTCACTTGCTCCAGGCGGCTCTTTCTGTAAAAGCAGAAGTGCTGAGCCCACGTTCCTGTGCACGAGCAGCCTGGCCAGAATCAGACACAGCCCCTTGGTCGCCCACCGAGGCTGAGGGAGAGCCCAGCACTCACAACGATGCCAACCAGGGTGCAGGGACCTGGGGGTGCAGCTGCCCAGAGGAAGGAGGTGAGGGAGGGACAGAGGAGGAAATGGCGTAACTGTTGGTTCAACTGTTGGTTCAACTGTTGCTGCTGTGAGGAACTGGCAAGCTGGTAGATAGCTACACAGAGAGAGCAGGCTGGGAGAAAGGTTTACCAGGAGGACAGTTAAACAGGCAAAAAGCTCAAAGTGCATTATCGTGCTTAAGTGATTAATAAAATAAAAAAAAAAGCCTCCTGAATCTCAGCATATTGCAAATATAAAACAATCAGCCTGAGGTAGGTAGATTATTCCGTTAGGCTTAACTAGGTTGTTTTGTCAGAATTCTAACTAACTTTGTGGTGGCCTTGCCTTCACTCTGCCAGGGGGGATGCTGACTCTTAGGAACTGTTTGCTAGGTTTTATGATCCAGCACAGACACTGAGGACTTTTGAACAACTTTCATTTTGAGTAAGGTGTTTTTTTGGGGGGTTGGTAGTAGATTTCTAGTAGCAGGTAGCAGATTTCCAGTGCAGCAGCTTTCATTTTCCACTCAGGGCCACTAACAGCCTTTTCTAAATATCCTGGTTTGAGAATGACACTGAACTGCTCTTCCTCAACTGCTGAAGAGGGGACCTGCACACAAGATGATAGGAAGAAAGACAAGTTCATTGCTTGAGTCTTAAGTACAGACTAAGCCCCTAAATACACATGATGGCAGGACCATTTGATGCTCCTCTTGTGGTATTACATCTCTACACAGAGGCTCCTTTGCCAGTACCTCTCCTTTTAAAGGCTGGTAAAGTTTGAGAGGTTATGCATTTTGGAGAGAAAATACTGTTGACTAAGGGTATAGTGCTTGACTCCAAAATACATGAATAGAACTATAACAAAATGAGACACAGGAGCAAAGCGTTGCAGTTTACATGGATTTAACTGCTGGCCAACTCTTGTTTGTATGGGCACCCCCTACTATGGAGAAAAACTACTAATATCCTTCAACTCCAGACATGACTTCATATCCTAAGGCATGCACCATCTAGCTGTACCTTTCGAAGCCAGAATGATCACTCGTGCTCTCACAGACCCCAAGAAATAGCCACCCTGAAGCTTTTATCTGCAGCAGGTTTGGCCCTGATGAATGCCTGGACCACAGACTGGATCACGGAACTGGAGCAAAGAGGATGTAACGTAGCACAGAGTTTGTGAGCTCCAGCTGGGCAGGAGAAGCAGGGCTTCAGTCCTGCCAGTTATGAGAAAGAGTCATCCATCTTGATTCACATTCATCAGTCTTTGTTACCATTCCTGAGGGGGCTTGTTGAGAACATACACTCTATTTTTATTGCTACTGGCAGTGATGTGACCATCTGCGCTTCATTTATTAGGGATACAGAGAGTTTGTCCTCCATGTTGCCCAAGGAACCAGAAGAGACTTTCCTCTTCATCCCCCAAAAGCCAAGTGGGGAGAATAGGTGTCTTGAGCTGATCCTTAAAAAGTCCCTGTGTTGGTTTTTACTTCACAAACACTCAACTTGCACTCAGCAGGCACTTCGTCTTTGCTTCTATGCTTTAGGTATTTTTAAATTTAAGAACAACACTACTACAGAGAATTAATTAAGGACCAATTAATTACGAGACAGCAATGCTGACATCTTGGGTTCACACAAGCACCTCTCTTTTCCTTCTGGTTGTTGCAGACTTTCCTGTTGAGTAAAAAACTCACCAGAATCTTGGTACAGGAGCCTCAAGAAGGATGAGCCATCTGAGGGAATTCTTTATTCTACAGATCTTTTCCTCATTTGGTCAGGACAGCATCAGGCAACTCAGATAAAAGCAGTAACTAACCAGCTATTGACCTTTGCTGAAATTATCTTTTTTCTTTCTTTCTTTTTTTTTTCTCTCTAGTACAGCTAAGAGAGGAATATATGAAATCCACCAGAGCTGAACTGCAGTAGAACAGGAAAGCTACAGTTTTGCCTCTTGAAGCACAGGCACAAAAGACACACTGTGAGATGGAGTAACATAAAAATACTGTCATGCCTGTTACTGCAGTGGGAACTCCAGAAGTTGAGGAGCTGCAGAAAGAGGATGTACAATTTTAGGAGGCTGCTCCAGTGTAAGACACATCTGGCAAAAAGGACGGAGACTGCATGGGTCAAAGAGTTCCAATTCCAACCTTTTATGCTGGAGGTGAAAAAACTCTTAAGCTGCAGCGAGGAATATGGATCATGGAACACAAAACCACAAGCAACAGAAAAACTAAGAACACGTATGTGCTTGACCTCAGCACTGCTGCCTGTAAGTCGTTCTTAAACCAACAAAAACATTTCAGCGGCTGGAAAAGATGAACAGGCCTGGTTGCCAAGTCATGGCCCGAACTATTCCAGGGGGCAGAAAAGACAGCTGGACTGCTGGTAAAGAACAAGGCTATTTAAGGAGACTCATTCTGGCCTAATGGAAAATGCAAGGATATAATTATCAATTATTTTAAACTAAAACAACATTTCAGATCCAGGAAAAAGAACATCACAAGGAAGCACAAGAGACGAGCTGGTTAGATTCAGTTAGCAGCTCAATCCAGGTACAAAAAGAGCAGAATGTGCTGCTCTTTAGAAGCAAGAAAATGAGATGTTTTCCACAAGAAGGTGATTCTGGACAGTGCATCAACCTACAAAGCAAGCTCTGAATATAGCTGCAGTGTTGTTCCAAGCACTGACACAAAGCTGATCTGATCACAGGGGGCTTGGGTTATCACAAGCCAACCCCAAAAGTGGTCAGTGGAACACAGCTACAGAAATTATTTTTAAATATATGTATTGCTGTATGTTTATATCTCCGAGTCATACTGATGATCTGCTTTCTCTTTCAGCCCCCTGGGCAGCTGCTTCTTGTGTACTGCAAGTGCTCCATATTAAGAATTCCTATGCCGAATCCTGGCTGTCACCCAGAATGCACAAACACAGAGCAAACACACAAAGCCAAATAAACAACACTCTTAGAGTCTCTGTGAGAAGGGACCAAGACTCAACTGTCAAAGGGGACTCGGAGCTAAAACCTCCTAGAGATGTAAAGCTCTTTAGCATGATTATCAAGTGCAGCCTTGTCTACTGCAAAAAAAACACCAGTTACTGAACTTACCACCATTCTTTTACCTTTGTCTTAGTCACAGGTTGTTAACAGCCTCAGACTAGTGATCTGCCCATCAGATGCTCAGGAGTCACAAGAGCATTTAACATGATTTGTAATGAGGGAGAGCAGCAGAATTTTTTTTTTGTTTTTCTTTACCAGGAATGCTCTGCTCAGAGCACAATGCCTATTACAAAAAAAGGACCAAAACTTTGCTTTAGAATTCAGTCAAAGTGCAAGTTTAAAAGAATTCTCAGCATATTTATGTCCTGGTCCTTATTTCTTCCTCTGCTAGCGGTTACAGCACACGGCTCTATAAATAGGTGTGACAGCCTAATTGTTGAATGTCACGGTATATGATGAAATCTTTATAAGAACATTCCCCAGGACTTCCCAAAATTAACAACTCTGAACAGCTTTTGTAATTCCTATTCAGAACTGAAGCAGATTAAATCTTTGAGAGATTTAAGTACACATGCACCAAAGAATATCTTGTTTACACAGGCTGCACTGCAAAGCTGTGAAATGACTGTGGTGCTTATTCATATCACAGGATGTGATACTTTCTAGCTTCAACAAACCAACAGTACTTGATCTTGAAGGCCAGAACATCCTGCTGTCTTCTTGAATCTCCTGAGTCAAATACAAGTGTACAAGGCAGAGATGAGTTTCAAGATACAGCATAGGAGACTCAGCAGGTATATGCTGCTGACGTAGCAGCTCAGATGTTAGGGAAAAAGTAAATCATACTTCCTGGCTCTCTGTGTCAGTGGAGCTGCCACCGAGTATTTTACAGTAACCCCCAGGTCCCAATCAAATTTTCATCTGAATGGTTTTATTCAGGCTCATAAAATTCCACAGAAACTTTGCAGGACATAACATTCTACCCATCAGTTTCCACAGAACTATACAGCCAGCTCTGTGCCTCTCTGTGGTTGCATATATTAAAGAAGCTTGGGGTTAGGACCGTGGTGTATCAGAGCCAAGGTTTCCACTAAGAGAATCGTGGCATTTAAAGTAACTGCACAGCCCAGGGTAACTGACTGCTTGGGACAGCAGTCAACTTCTGTTCCTGGCCACCCTGTCAGAATGGCTCGATGGACAAGGCAGGGCTGGGTAATCATTCACACTTGGCATTTGTAGATGGCAAAAAATGTTTCCACCAATTGGGTTTTGTTGAGCGAATCCATCTCCAGGGGTGGCATATTAAAACAGAAATAACCCTGACTTTTCTGGTGTAAAGGCATGTTACAATACACCAGTGCACAGACAAGTGCAATTGCCAGCAGTCGTAGACAGCTGCTATTTGAGGATATCTATAGATACATAGCACAGGTGGCATTTCCAGAAAACCCAACTGGAAATCCTAGGGAGAAAAAAATTATCTTAAGTGCCTAAAATGACAGATGACCAATGCCATTCAGTGGGCTTGGGGAGCTAGTCGATTCCTGCCTACGTTGGACAAACAGTTCTTGAGATGACTAAACACCATTTGTGGTTTTACTTTTCAGCTGTGGAAGGATTTGCTCTGATACTTGAAGTCCCACCGAGTGCATCTGTGTGCAGACACAGGGAGAGCTGGTGGGCAAAAGTCTTACTGCTGCACTGGTATTAGAACATTCAGAAAGTGGCGCTTTTTTGTTGCTAGCAGCTGCACAAAAAACTCTGGAAGGATATATTGATGAGCCCCATGTTCCAGGAGTCTTTGACCCATCTCAACTTCTATTCTGACAGTATTAGCACAATTCACTTTGGGTATGTGAGGATTGGATCAAATCTGAAAGAAGAGGTCAGTTAGGTCTAAAGAACTTGATGCCAAGCAGAGAAAGGATGAAAGCCATCATGCATGTGACACACAGGACCAGATTGCCCAGGTTTGTGTAGTTCAGTCCAGGAATTGTTGGCCTTCATATAATTCAATGCATAAGGTGTGTCACATGCCTGAGGATAAAACTAAAGCTACTATCATCACAGGCACTTTAACTTACCCATGAAGAAATACTCTGGAGACCTTTTGTCTGAAGCAAAGTCTGCCATGACCCCACCAAACCGCAGCCAAAGACCAAAGGCAATGACAGCCAGTCCTGCCAGCTGGAAGATAAACAGACCAGTCAATACTTTAGTAACAAGTGGCTGGAGAGCATCAAAGAGCTGTCATGGGCACCTTATGTTTTCTTGAAACCCCACCACAGCTCAGGATTGCGCTGTCAGAAAATTCAGGAAGCACTTGCCAATGTTTGAAAACAATGAATTCCCGTTATAGTGCAACGTACTTTTTTCTTTCTTTCAGCTCTTCAATGTAGTGGTTCTTCTGAACTAACTTACTTTCAAACCTTGTAAATAAGCTCATTTAGTCATCAACACTTGGCCTGAATTGCAAGGGGGAATGGGGTGGGGGAGTTGTGGAGGGGAAGCAAGTGCCCCTGAGAAGAGGGGCTGCAGAGGTGGTGAGGAGCACTCTGCCCTCCTTCCTCCTGCTCCCAGTGCCACTCTCAGGAGACCTCTCAGGGCCCGGCTCTGGAGGGAAGATGCTGTTACTGTAAGAAAAGCCCCTTACGGGGAAGTGCCACATGATCAGGAGCTCAGCCCTGCTGGCTTGACACACACCCCAAACTTGTAGGACAGAGTAGTTTAGTTGACTTTTTTTCCACCCTCCGAGCTCTTTCAGGGCTGAATAACAGCCTTTCAGGCTGAGAGGTGCCCCCTTTCCCTGTAGTATCACAAGTCCAGCTCCTGGGTCAGGAGCTGTGGGTGATGTGGTGCTGTAGAGGGACCAGCTGGACCCTAAATCATCCCACCAAACTCCAGGAGATGATCTGCTGTTCCAGAACTACTGCTGCTGCTCAGTTTTTAAGAAGGGTTCTGTCTAGAGGCTTACCAGAAAGAGAGGCTTGCATTGTTCTGGGAGATGTGCTGAAGTTAAGTGTGTTTGGGCCAACTATGACAGGGCATTTTTCTGTAAATCACCATGGGAATCCCTACCAGAACTTGGAGAGAAAAGGATTATTACAGTGTACAACATCTTGGATCACAGAAATGACTAATGAACGAGGGATGGGTGCTGTAAAATCCAAGGCAAAATTCCCTTTAATGCGAATGAGACTAGATTTACAGTGTACAACATCTTGGATCACAGAAAGGACTAACAAACAAGTAATGGATGCTGTCAAATCCAAGGCAAAATTCCCTTTAATGTGAACTAAACTAGATCCTTCCAATATCTGAAGGGGCTACAGGAGAGCTGGGGAGGGACTCTTTGTCAGGAAGTGTAGTGATAGGAAAGGGGTAATGGTAACTGGAAGAGGGGAGATTTAGATTAGATACTAGAAATTCTTTACAGTGAGGGTGGTGAGACACTGGAACAGGTTGCCCAGAGAAGCTGTGGCTGCCCCATCCCTGGAGGGGTTCAAGGCCAGGCTGGATGGGGCTTTGGGCAACCTGCTCTGGTGGGAGGTGTCCCTGCCCAGGGCAGGGGGTTGGAACTAGATGATGTTTAAGGTCCCTTCCAACCCAAACCATTTTATGATTCTATCAAAAATGAGCACCAAAGCCAACCCAAACCATTCTGTGATTCTATCAAAAATGAGCATCAAATCATGTTGTTTGAGGGGAAAGATCTACAGACAGTGGTCTCAGACCCACCGCATCCCAGACCCATTTACAAGTTCCCAAGGCAATGGTGTGTCCTGCCAGGCAGCGTCAGCATCCCACGGGACCAGGCACGATGCTCTGTGACACTTCTGATGGTGTCGCTTTTTGTTTGTTGTGTGGGTGTTTATATTTGTCAAAATTAGGTTGACAGTTGGACAAGATGATCTTTAAGGTCCCTTCCAACCTAGAAGATTCTGTGGTTCTGTGTGAGGCCCAGAACCTGGGTCTGTAGGAACTGCACAACCCACACAACACCGGCTGCTGACTGTGCCCTCACCAGCCTGGTGTGGAGCTCTTAAAGTCTCTCCCCTACTGCCTGGTTCATCTGGCACGGCTAACAGCAAGCAGAGAAAGCAGGCAAGGATGTGGGTGAAGAGTTTGAGGTCACATCTTTCTCACAGAAGTGTCACAGGACAGTGTGAGGGTCCCCTGCCACCCTGCTCACAGCGTTGGAACCACCAGCCTTGGGACTGCCTGAGCCCCCTCCTCTCAGTCCAGGCTTGTAAGAGCCTCTGGTGGCCAGGACAGTGTTTGAAATGAATGCCCACAGCTCAGCTGAGGACATGGTTTCTTCCACCTCAGTGAAAATGCAGATAATCGTCACTTTTGTCAAAGGACATAACGCAAAGCTTTGTCCTTCTCCTGCGTGGCAGCTGCAGCTGGGCAGCACACCCTGCCCCTGCACAGCAGCGCTGTGTACCCGGAGCTCGCAGCGCTGTCACCGAGGGAAAAGCATTTGGTTTAACTGTGTTTCAAGCATAAAAGAGACAAAAGCCCAAAACTGCTTGCTCCAGAGAGGCTGAACAGGATGATTTTGTGACTTCTTTAAAAAAAAAAAAAAAAAAAAAAAACAACCCAGTGAATCAGAAAGAAAAAGACATTTAAGAAGATAACATTGGTAATTGTTTTCCAGTGTGAAAAACTGGAAGACTACTGGAAGGGAGAACACAGCGCGAGGGAAAGAAAGAGAAAAGAAAGCTTGAATTCAATTGTGCCGTGGAACTGTGAGATTGTTAAAAAGGTGCAAGGAGGAGAGAATGGACACAGCGTTCTCTGGATCTCTGGAGGCTTCTGCAGCAGACACTGTCCGTAGCCACCTTCGGGTCGCTCTCAGCAAAGCAAGTGCAATACGATTCAAGGAGTTTCTCTTAGGATGAACTTGTAAAAGCAGCAGCTGGTGGCTCGCAGTTGGAAAGCACATTATTAAAAAGCCTGGTGAACTTGTTGTGAAGGTGTTCTGCTGCCTGGGGTGCTGGGAGAACCTCCCGCAGCCTCCCGCGGTTTGAAATGTTATGTTTGGGCTTTACCGGTTAAGAAAGAAATTGGTATTTTCTCGGCGACTGTCAGCTCATCTCAGGTACCTGTTTTCCCAGGAGAGCTCTGTCTTTACAGAGCACCCGGGAGCAGCACCGGACACCCCTGGGGCTGCCCGTCCCGCACCGTTCCCCTTCAGGGACGCCCCCCCCCGCCCGCCTCCGCGGGGACCGACGGCGGCCGCGGACCGGGAGCACCCCGCGGCAGGTGCCTCCCGGCGGCTCGGCCCGTCCCGCCCCTTCCCTTCCCTTCCCTTCCCGTCCCGTCCCGTCCCGGTGCTCACCCAAAAGCTCAGGTTGAAGATGAACAGCAGGATCTTGATGCAGCGCATCCCCCCGCGCCCCGAGCCCATGGCGGGCGCCGGTTCCCGCAGCGGTTCAGGC